ACACACACACACACACACACACACACACACACACACACACACACACACACACACACACACACACACACACACACACACACACACACACACACACACACACAACACAGCACGCACTGCACGCACGCAAAACGGACCCCAAAAAAAAAAAAATAAACGAAAAAAATTGCACACGCACGCGCCACCGGCTCACACGCACACGCTCACACACACACACATCACACACCACACACAAACACACACACACACACACACACACACACACACATAGAAAGAACCACACACGACACACACACACCACACACACACACACACACACACACACACACACACACACACACACACACAACACACACACACACAAACACACACCACACAAACACACACACACACACACACACACACACACACACACACACACACACACACACACACACACACACACACACACACACACACGTGCACGTGACGGTGGACCGGGTCCGGGGGCCCCTGGCGCCAGAACCCGGACCACGGCCTGGGAGTCCCCGGGGCGCCCCGCGCGCACTTCGGGGGCCCCAAATCGACGCCGAGGGCGATCAGACAGCCGCCAAAAGCGATCAACGGCGGCCTCGAGCTTCAGCCGCCAAGACGTTTCGGGCGGCTCACTCGGCGCCTGAGCTGCTCAAGTTGCTTCCCAGACGCTCCGAGAGCGCCAAAAGTCGCCCCAAGACGGAAGACGGCTCGGGAGAGTTCCAAGAGGGTCCCAGGAGAGAGCCCCAGGAGGGCCCCAAAAGGTCCGCAGGAGTGCCCCAGGATGGCCAAAAAGCGCCCCAAGACGGCCCAGAAGGGCCCCAGGACGGCCCAAGAGGGCCTCGAGTCTTCAGGAGGACCCCCAAGGAAGCCCCAAGGGAGGCCCCGAAAGGTCCGTAGGAGTGCCCCAGTAGATAACCAAAAAGCGCCCCAAGACGGCCCAGAAGGGCCCCAGGACGGCCCAAGAGGGCCTCGAGTCTTCAGGAGGACCCCCAAGGAAGCCCCAAGGAAGGCCCCGAAAGGTCCGTAGGAGTGCCCCAGGAGATGGCCAAAATGCGCCTCAAGACGGCCCAGAAGGGCCCCAGGACGGCCCAAGAGGGCCTCGAGTCTTCAGGAGGACCCTCAAGATCAAGGGAGGAAAGACCACCCGGACCCGACAATTGGCGTTTACTACACGGCCCTGGGCGTTTCCTACACAGCCCTGCCCTGTTCGATTCCTTCTTTGGGCGCGTTTACTGAACGACTTCGCGTGTCGGGGTGGTTGTTATGGGGGTGGATGTTTGACCTCCCCAGACATGTGACGTCTTGTTTTTTCCAGGACGGCGTCCCTGGAAGTCCCGACCCTTTCCCCGGGACCGGTTCTTCGTCCCCAGTCGTTTTTTGACGGCCCCGAGGCCCGGCGAGGGCCCCCCCCGGGGGGCCGAAGACAGCCACAACCTTCCCGCCCTGCTTTTTTTACGACGCGATCGTGTCTGGGTGGTTGTGATGGGGGGGGATTCTTGACCTCTATAGGAGGGCCTGAGGAGGCCAACGTTTTTTTTTTTTGTTGAGCCCGCGGGCGCCCCCCGCGAGCCGAGGCTTGGGTGCAGGCGCCGGTCGGGCAGCGGGCGGGGCGCGCCGGGAGCAACATATTACAGGGGGGGGGGGCCGCGGGCGGCACGCGGGGGGCAAGAGGAGGAGGGGAGAGCTCCAGGGCACTCCTCCTCCGCCGCCTCCGCCTCCTCCGCCGCCTCCTCCGCCTCCTCCGCCTCCTCCGCCTCGTGCCTCCTCCTTCTCCTTCTCCTCCTCCTCCGCCTCCGCCTCCTCCTCCTCCTCCTCCTCCTCCTCCTCCTCCGCCTCCGCCGCCTCCTCCGCCTCCTCCGCTTCCGCCTCTTCCGCCTCCGCCGCCTCCGCCTCCGCCTCCTCCTCCTCCTCCTCATTCTCATCCGCCGCCTCCTCCTCCTCCGCCTCCGCCTCTGCCGCCTCCTCCGACTTCGCCTCCGCCTCCGCCTCCTCCGCCGCCTCCTCCTCCGCCTCCTCCCCCTTAAGACCCTTGCGGGGGGGTCGGCTGCTGGGACACCTGGCAGGACTTCGCCCGATCGCCCCAAAACAGGGCTCCAAGGGCCTCCCGAAGAGCCTGCAGAGAGTCCGAGACCCCCCCAGAAAGACCCAAGAGTGCCCCGAGAGATCCCCAAGAGAACCATAAGAGGGCCCCAGAAGATCACAAGATGGACCCAAGAGAGTCCTCCAAGGTGCGCTCACAGGCGAAGGCGAAGGCCCCCTCCCCCTTCTCCTTTCCTTCCTTCCTCCCTCCACCCTGCTCCAGTTGTTGTGCCATCCCTCATCATCCGTTTCCTCGTCCCTCTCGAAGATACCCCTCGTTCAGGTTCCCTCCCCCAGCAACCCATTTTTGCCCCACTGGGTCCCGGGGCCGGGCCGCGCCTGGGGGGCTCAGATGGGTCCCAGACAGCGCACACAGCGTTTCAAGCGGCCCAAGAGGCCCCAAAGACCCCTCTACAGGGTCCGAAGATGGCCCCCAAGAGGGCCCCGAAAGGCAAAATCACCCCAGCCCCCCAGGGAAGCGTGCATTTGTTGCATATTAGTTTTTCCATCTCCACTCCATCGAAGAGGACCCCACAGGCCTCCACGACGGCCCAAGAGGGCCCCAGGAGGGGGCATCTCAGCGTTGGGTCCCGGTACGCCAGTGGCTCGCTTGAGCCAATATGGGGGGTCACAGCCTCCCAGCGCTGGCGGGTGCAGTAGACACTTTCGATTTCACCCCGGATATCCACACAATATAATTTCGAATGAGTTTCAAACCGTGCTCCACCCCTTCCCCTTTACCATTGCACATTCTCGACAAGGGGTAGGATCAGCAGTCCAAGGAGAAGAAGGTTGACGCTGAGGCGGGCGATGAGGATGATTCGAAGAAGTACGCCGACCAAGGTCCCGCCCAGGTCGTCGTCCAAGGCTGTGTCGACACGCTTGAGCTAACTGGGGGGTCACTGCTGCCCCAGCGCTGGCTCCTAAGACCAGTCCAAGACGGCCCCGAGAGGTCCTCGAAACTGCCAACGGGGCCCTCAAGGGCCCAAGACGAACCAGAGGGCCCCCAGAGAGGTGCCCCAGAGAATGGGACCACCAGTCGGCTTCCAATATGTCCCCACGACACCCCCCCATCCGCCGCAAGACCCCCCAAAGGGCCCCCCAAAGACCGCCAAAACGCTTCCAACAGGATCTCACAGGCTTGCCAAGAGCCCCCTAAGGAACCGCGTTCAAAAAACCTGCACCTCCCTCGATCCCCGATCCCTCTCTCCTCCCTCCCTCCCTCTCTCCTCCCTCCCTCCCTCTCCTTTCCCTCCCTCCCCTCTCCCTTCCTCCCTCCGATAAGTT